GTAACTGTTGTATCACCAGGGATCCTTCCATTCAGCTCATAACTTCCTCTAGTCAACTCTCCTCTTCCCATTCTGAAACATCTTTTTATAGTAGCAACCTGGCCATTTGTAAGAAATACTCTGGAAAATATATGCTGAATAGGTTAACTTTGTGAATTATTCTTTCCTATTAAAGTAGACAGTGACTTTATTTTCTTTATTCAAGTTTTATCTTTTATTATATTATTTTGTATACACAAAGAAACACATAAAAATTACACCAAGTACAAAAACTATTTTGCACATGCCTTGCTAAAATCACCAACCAACTTGGTGGAACAAGAAGTCTTCAAAGTCATTTCTTTTTCATTATAAATTTGTCTGAAAAGATTGGTATTCAAAACACTATTTTTTTTGCACAGATGTTTACAATTTTAAACCAAAGCAGTGAAGACACTGAATGGCTCCTCCAGGTGCAGTGTTCTCAGTCAATGATGTATGTAGACATCGGCTTGCTCTGCAGGCCTGGCTCCAGGCATGGCTGTTTCCAGAGTTTGGTATTCCAGATCGAGCTCCACTTCTGCCTATACCTATACATATTTTCTGTTGTTTTGAACAGATTTTGAGTTTTACTGAAATCTTAAATACAATCACATTAAAGAACAAACCGTCACAGCTTGACATTTAAGTCAAATTTTGAAGGGCAGGTTTTGAAAAGATGTGAAGTTTTTAACAATTTAAAAACACTGTTAGCCTACTTCTAGAGATGCAAGACATATAATCACAGGTTATTCTCAATACAAGAAAACTTAAATTTGTTTGCTTTAATTTCTTGTAACTATTAAGACAAAGCACTAGCTTGTATTTTTATTTACAGCATATTCCATACTCCTGTGTAATCAATCTGAAATCCAAAAAAAGGTTCAAAACCAAAGGTTCTGCAAAATCAAGATTTAACAGTGTGCCCAGCTTATTTTGAAGCTAAGAAGCCTGAAATGATAAAAGCATTGTAACCCCCAGAATAAGGGAACTCTGAAGGTTGGGCAAGCTACTTCTGTAGTGATACCACCTCAGAAACTCAAGGAGGGGTCACTATGAGTTGGATCCGACTCGATGACAGTGTTGCATTGTGTTGCATTTGCAAGTCTAATAATATCCAAGAGCATTTATGAAAAAAGGAAAAATAAAAGGACTTGAGTATGTACATACTAATGATTCTTCCAATACAAACGGCAGCAAATTACTACTTAAAGATGAAACAGTTAAGCCAGTATTTTTTGGAGAATGGAGATTTAGAGTCAACCATACCTTGTTAGTATCATTTTTAAGACCTCACTTGTCTATTTCCACTGATGCCGTAAGTATCCTGATAAAATTCCTGGTTGGCATTATTATAACCAAAGTTACCAGAATAGTCACACCTTGCCGAAGCAGCTGCTTAGCAACGGGCAGGGAAGCCCAGTGCTGTTGGTTGTCGGTCTGACTTGGAATCAGGTTTGGTGGTACCGATCTACCTTTCTCTTGCCTCCAACACTGCCCCTATGATTCTCCTTCACTCCAAGGGAACCATGGCTTCTTACTGAAATGACACTAATTCTTCTTCTACCATTAACCATTATGCACAACCAAAATGCTTTCATTATAATCAATCACTAATACCATGGCCAAATGGGAGTCCCTGGGAGCTGCAGATGGTTAATGTACTTAGCTGCTAACTGAAAGACTGAAGGTTGGAGTCAACTCAAAGCCCTTTAGCAGAAAAGGAAGCCTAATAATTTCCTTCTAGAAAAAGCAGTCATTGAATATCTTATGGAGCATAGTTTTCCTCTGACACACATGAGGTTGCCATGAGTCAGAAGCAACTTGAAGCAACTGTTTTTTTTTTTCATTTTTACAACAGCCACATACTCCTCATTCAACTTATAAAGAGGCTGGTTAATCTTGATCTGTGTCATTCAAGGACGCCTTTTGAATACACTAAGATGAACAATGTGTGTCTCTTGATAAGGTAACTTCTTAAGTCTGAGATTCAGTTTGACTTGAAACAGATTCAGACATGTTGTCTGTCATCAAAACAGTTCTGATTTTATTTTCCATATGGTAAGCTTTACCTTCTAAAACAATTCTAAAATTTAAGGAAAACTTTAAGAAAATTTTTCATTTGACTACTTTACTATATTTTTCATTTTATATTTTCTAACCAAGGGTATTCTTTTGTGTTCTAAATATTTTGTGTAAATTTTCCCTTCAAAAGTAATATGCCTAATTCTTAAAAAAAAAAAA